AAACACCTGAGCACCCACCCGACGTGGGCCCCACATGGCAGGTGGCCCAGGCGGCGTTCAGGGTTAAACATCTGTCTCCCTCTCCCGTGTATCCGATCCTTGGCAACCCAGAGTTCCCTCCCGGTTTGGAGGATGGTTTATTGCGCCGTCTTGTAGGCCTGGGTCGGTTTCGGGCGATGCACCTTATCCAGGGCTCACAATGGCAGTCCCTGCGAGGTTTGATGTCGGATACGGAGCTGGGAGATCCGGGCTTTTGGAGACAGCTTCATCTTTCCCACTTCCTAGCTACACTACCTGCGCCTGCCAGTTATGCTCGGACCCTCACGGATTACGAACGTGCCTGTACCGACACGGGACCAATGGCTAAGACACTGTCCTTCTGTTACCGATTGGTGGTAGAGGCAGACCTGGACTCCCCACTGTCCTTTCTTGGGCAGTGGGAGAGGGAGCTGGGGATCCAGTTCTCCCATGACGACAGGGCCAGGCTCCTGAGGCTCTCCCTGAAGTCGTCCATATGCAACAAATACCAGGAGTCGGGCTACAAAATCCTAACCCGCTGGTATAGAACTCCACGCAGACTTCACCTGATGTACAATGAGGTATCGGATGTGTGTTGGCGGTGTGCCTCCTCTCCCGCAGACATGCTCCATATTTTCTGGGCCTGCCCAAAACTAACGCCTTTTTGGTCACGGGTCCAGCAGATAGCCCACCAAATCCCGGAAGACCCAGCGTTCTTCCTCCTCCACCATAACTCATTCCCACTGAAGGGGTACTCCAGGTCAGTGCTGGTACACTTGCTGAATGGGGCACTCGCATGTATCCCCATCCTATGGAAACAGGAGACCCCCACCTTCGGTACGGCTCTGGTTTACCAAAGTGAACGACATCAGAACCATGGAGGACCTGACTAGTCTACCGGTAGTCCCAATGTGGACGCCCTGCCACGTCGGGCGGACCATATAATGTCATTAGTAGCACTTCTGGTCCTCACACGGTGGCAATGCAAACTATTTAACTACTGGCAAGGCCCTCGCGGACGCGAGGGCTAGACGTGAGATCAATACGTGAGATCAATGTTTGCAATGCCGTAGTAGATCTATGTGTCTATTACAATTATCAGAGTTCTCTGTATTTCTGATGTGAAATAATGTGACACACTTACCCTTGTTCGTTGTTATATGATGAAACTGTTCAATAAAGAATTTATAAAAAAAAAAAGAAAAAAATACAAACTGGTTTCCCAAAGGACCTTACAAAAGTTAAGCTGAAAAGGGGTGAATCAACTCCTCTCTGCTAGAAGGAACTGCTGGCAGTAAAGTACAAGGACAAGAAGGAGGTGTATATGCTGACCACCATCCATGATCACCATAGTCGCAGGGTAGCAGTCCATGGCAGAGAGGTGGGTGCCAATCTGCATCACACAATATAACAGGCACATGGGGGTAGTGGACCTGTCTGATCAATTAATGCAGCCATACCTGATAATAAGAAAAACTCGGGCATGGTATAAAAAAGTGGGCATTTACTTGATGCAGACGGCAACCCACCATAAGCCCCCCCGCACCCCCCACAAAAGCACCACAGAAGTGATGGAGGGTCTGTTACCAAAGGGGCATAAGGATGGAAACAAGCCTTTACTGCCCTGACTGCCCGTCCCAGCCAGGCCTTTGCATTGGTAACTGTTTTAAGGTTTACCCATTAAATCCATTTATGAAAAGAATTCACACTTAAAAAGCTGACATGGTGTGGTCTCTTATATGGCACTGTAACTCCACATAATACTGTCTACAGCATACATTGGGAGTATAGCTCTACTCAGAAGAGTTTGGTGAGCATAATTTGGGGGTTTATCACAGTGGTGCACATCAGATTTACAAAACACCCAGCAAAAATACAAAATGTATGCAAAACATGCAAAGAAAAAAACATTTTCCCCACTAACTTTAACATAAATGGTGAAAAAATGGCGACACTGGGTACAATATACACCAGATCAGATATCCCGGATTGTCTACTTGCACAAATGGTGGCCTTCATGGGGTAATTTGAACAGTAAAACTGTTATAATGCCCCAAAATTAGACATAGGCCCATCAAATTCATCTATCAAAATTCTTACTGTAAAAACTGAAATAGTCAGGTTATATGGCACTGTAACTTCACAAGATAGTGACAAAAGCATATACTGGGGGTATTGTTGTAATCAGAAGATGTTGCTGGACACAATATGGGGTTTTGTACAGGAGTATCACACATTAGGTTTACGAAAAACACCGGCAGCTCTGATCTCTTCAGCTATTGTGCAGCGATCCCTCCTCCTGTCTAGTGCGATCCCAAAAAAGTGCTTGTACTATTTTTTGTGATCGCACTAGACCGGAATGTGGGCATTGCTGTGCTCGTGTTCTGGCGCGGCCGATCACGCTGTGGGCAAGGGGGCGTGGCTGCGGTGCCATTCACTTGAGTGCACTGCCACGTCCCCTCCCACCCCAGAACGCATGGAGCCTTCACAGTATGCGATCCAGTGCGTTCCAGCTTTGTTAGCTGCTGGAACACACTGGAAGTGGTGTGAACAGGCCCTAAGTGATGTATGTCTTCTCTCTGAGAGAAGCATACCACTTGTTTTTTTATTTTTCTTGATTCTTCTAGCTGTTGCCACTGCTGCTCCCCTTTTTGCAGCTCTCCTTATCCGTTGTCTCCTCGGCTGAGCCTTGGGGAACCTTAGCCAGGCACTGTCAAATGAAAGATGAATGGCTGGCCTGTAATGTTGCTTAAGGGCACTGGATTCTGCTTTAGGTGCATCACATTGAGTTATCCTTGGGGCGTGCTGTGGTCCACCGGGTGGTTGAGCCCTGCTCTGTCCCTAAAGCCCCTTCAGGGTATATGTCCACTGATAGGGCGAATGATGGGGTTTGAGCTGAACGTCCTATTGCTATGCTGGGAGGACCAGAAGTCTGCCGTGTTAAGCCAGGGACTTCTAACCTTTACTGGAGCCCAGGTTGCTGTTACGCTGCTGGTCCCCTACATGTTAGTTGGATTGCAGGCTGTTACACATTTAAATGCTTTGTAAAACGATCAGGCGTCTCTAGAGACGCCGAATTGCTTGAATGTAAAGCTCTCGGCCGGCCCGGAAGCTTCTTGGCCCGCCTCCGGCATCCTCTCGTCACAGACGAGAAGATGAGTGGATTTTTCAAGCCGTGTGTGTGTATATGTGTGTTTAATCTTTTTTTTAAATTATTATTAATTTGGCGCATTGATCAGCTTGTCTCTTCTACTCCTACCTCACAGTACAGCAATCCTTAGACGTTTGCTGTGCTTCAGCTGCCTGCAGTGTTTGACACAGAAGGCTTAACCCTGCCTGATCGGCAGCTCTGCCATTGCACACAATACACTGTCTGGAGGGGAGGGGGGCCACTGAATACTAATGAATGGAAGAGCTCAAACAGTGCTTGCAAAACAGACATTTCCATGAGACTATGAAGAGGAAAGCTAACAAAAAATGTAAGTGTCTGTTTTCATATACATCAACTGCATATGCCGACTTCATGTACCCTCAGTGCTAATTGCTGGCATTTGTTTTTAAAAAATAAATACCTCTGCAAAGGTAGAAATTGGCTTTAAAGCTTTGATTTGCCAAAGCCCAATCACAAGAAGATAGCTACACAAGCTATTGGTTCCAGAATTAAAGGAGAACTATGAGATGAGTGATTTCCACTCACCTCATAGTTCTAGCCGACCTGTGACAATGAGACTGTCACAGGTCGGCTCAGTAGATCGGGAGGTGAGCGAACACATAGCGGGTTCGCTCACCTCTCGATCCTGTCACGGCTCTCTGCCGTGACAGGGGAAGGGGCTGGATTCCCCTCTCCCCGCTCCGCTCTGCCAGCGCTGACTGGCGGAACGGATGGGGGAGGGTACAGCTGGCTCTGCCTCTAGATAGGCAGAGCCAGCTGTCACTCATGCAGCTGGGCGGATCTCGACATCTATGTCGGGATCCGCTCCGGCGTCTCAGTATACCGCGAGCTGTAGCTCGCGGTATACTGAGCTTAGGGTAACGGGAGGACGCTAGTTTGTGTCCTCCCGTTACCCTAAGGAGAACTATGGGGGAAAAACACTGACCCCATAGTTCTCCTTTTAACTCATCATGTCCTGTGATGTACTCCAAGAAATGGGTTTTACAGGCAAGACCAAAATCCTGTTTGTTCCCTTTTGGCCTGTAAAAATAGGATTGAAAGTATTTTGATTCTGTTGCCAGTGCACACTTACTTTTCTTCCCAGTTATTGCCATGAGCTATTAAACATTTCTCCCTCATGTTGTGCAGATGAGGAGAGGGGAAGGGATTCATTAGTTTAACAAAAGAAATCTGGGAAGAGATAACACTAATTCTTGCAATTGCATGCATTTTCAGCCCACAGACAAAATTAGAACTTAATTGCATTTCTAATATCCAAAGACGCCTCACTCCCAGCGCTCAGCAGACCGAGGCCGGACTGTCATTAGCTCCAATCCTCTACACTACACACTCTGGGAATGGCTGACATCCACAAGATAATGTGATGTATCCTCATAAACATGCAAAAGACACAAAAAACAGCTTCTTCTCCTAGTGTGAGAACGTTTATAAAAACTCCAAATGTTAAAAGGTGGTAAAACTACTTGCATGCACAAAGGGGAAACAAACACACACCTGGGATGATAATTTATCGCTGACACATTTTGGGGGATCTCCCCCTTCTTCAGAGCTCTGGGAAGGGGAGGAGTGAGTCATGATGTCACAGGACCTGTTCCGACCATTTGTTCACATTCAGTAGCTCTGCTTCCGAATCCGTTCTGAATTGTTTGCATTTTATTTATCATACAGCATATGGTTTTACATTTCATCTCGTATAATACTGCTGAAGGATCAGTATTTGAAAGTTTGAAAGATTCCCTAGTGGAGTATAGGGTGCATCTGCAAAGTCTGCATTCATTTCCTTTCGTCATGATGCCCATATGTTTTCTAGGATACCTGAAGGCCCAGTCGAGCAAGGAGCTGCAGCAGGAAGGATACGAGCATTAGAGGAGCAGCTTTTAAAAGCCAAAGAACAGATAGAAATGTACAAACAGCAATCCAGTAGCTCTGGTAAGTCATAATTAATTTTACAAAGAAATATATAATATATTTTTTTTGGGACAGTTCAGTCCACATCATTCTTGTCCACAATTTGCAAAGGAGGCAGACTACTATTTCCCACTCTCTGCACTTTCCCCAACACAAAACAAGGCTCCCCTTCCAGTTTAAGTGCCTGTGCTGATATCTGTGACAGCATGCCCCCACCTTTTGCATTCTTGTGACCTTGCTTGTGTCCGGAAAGTGCAGGGACAGTGAGAAAAGAGCGGTCATTCAATAGGCCCTCTGCTTTATAGTGCAGGATCGGGAATGAAGAGGAGTGAACTGAAGTCTGTAACTCAGTTTGTACCGCACTAAGAAGCATGATATTAAAAGCAACATACACTGTGGGAGTTAGGTGACTGAGTTCTGAAAAACAATGACTGAGGCCTTTTTTTCATTTTTTGCACCCATGTTATATTCCAAATTTTAGGCCTGAAAATGACTTAAAACCCCCAAACATTATATATTTTCTGAATGCCAAGACCCTATAGAATAAAATGGTGGTAGCTCCTTATTAAACCCCAACATTTAGTCAAAAATTTAATTAAATGCCCCATAACACAACAAAATACCCATTTTTTTAATGAAATATAAAAGATGAGGTTACAACGAGTAAAACGATACCCAACATGCCCAGGTTACAAATTGCGTGCGTCCGTGAAACGGCGAAAAACTGCAGTACCCCAAAAAGTCCATTGCTATCACATGGGGGGGCTTGCAAGCCCCCCCATGTGATAGCAGATGGTGGTGACAGGTCCTCTTTAAGGTGATGCTGGGGGTCCAAAAGACCCCCAGTGTCACCTTTACACTGGAAATAAGCTATTGAAGTGCAGATCGCACTTCAATAGCTTATAGCTGGGCTGCAGGAGCCCAGAAATGACAGCCCAGGCACCGGAAGTGATGCAATCTGCATCGCTGTTGTAATCGATAACATTGACATCTATGATACAGCTTTGATGGAAGGTTCCTTGATATCTTGAATGGAATCAGCAGATGGCTGATATGTAAATGAGGACCATCGAAGGGTTCTTGGGGCTGGACACTGAGGAATGAAGATCTGCCAGGACGGTCATGTCCTGGGGCAAGCCCGACCCCCCTGCTGGTATTTACTGCCCACACCTGTGTCAGCAATGCATATATGCTGGGATGGGGGCAGGGGCATATGATGGAACCTTCTTCCTGTGTGACACTAATCTAGCTGACCAGCAAGACCTTTGGACAAGACAAGTCTTTCTGAACTCTGCAATCAAGAATGTGATTCGCTGAGACCTGCTGGAGAGGCGTGTCCGGAGAACAGAGAAAAACCCATGGCATGTGTGACAGAGAGAGAATGGTGTAGCTAGCTGTAGGATCCTTAACCTCAATTCCTATCCCCAATTCCCCTTTCAAATTCCCTTAATTGTAATATGTATGTATATCCCTATTTGTAAATAAACCCGACACTTATTTAAGATTCAGTTGTTCATCACTAATTTAAGGCACCCCCAAATCAGAGCACATTCTACAATCGCTCCCGGTCCCATAGAACGGGCAGGGGATCGATTAACGGAAGTTCGTCGGCCTCCTCCCCAGCTCCCCGCGGACACCAAGGAAGCCGGTACCGGGCCCGTAGGAGAGGCAACGGAGCCCAGGAAGCACGGCGGCGGTGTCCGGCGGGGGGTGGGGAGGGCGGCCCCTTCTACAGGACACAGAAGCGATCTGGCAACAGGTAAGTCGCCAGAATCGCTTCTGTTGTAAAGTCGACAGTCGGCTTTACAAGTTTAAACAGAGTCCCGGCGGCAATAGCCGCCCGGAGTCTGTTTTAAACAGCCCCGATGCTGGCGACGTACACTGTACGTCGTGAGTCACAAAGGGGTTAAAGTCCAACTCCATGTTATCCCACCCCCAGTCTGCATGGCCACAAAACTATAAGGTGTATATATACTTTAGTTCCAAGTTTCTTCCAACTGGTCTTGTGATGGATGGGTTCTTCTTGTCCTGTGTTGCTAGTTTTTACTGTTGCACAAACTGTGTACAAGTAGTAGCATGCACACTCCATTAAGTGCAGGTGTACACTGTTGAGTCCGGGCTGCATCATGGAATGACAGCCCCCTTGTTTTCAATGGATCAAAAGTAATTGGACAATTGAATCAAAAGCTGTTTCATGGACAGATGTGGGCTATTCTTTCGTTATTTCATCATCAGTAAGCCACGCCCACCGCACGCTGAAGCCGCGCACGCCGCTGCTCTCCTCGGCACGATCTCCCTCACTCGTCGCTGGCCTGCCGACAATCGAGGGCCCACCTTCTGAAAGCAAGTCAGTGGCGGAATAGGTGTACGGAGCTGCAGTGTGGAACAGGTGTGTGGGGATATAGTGGTGGAACAGGTGTGTGGGGATATAGTGGTGGAACAGGTATGTGGGGATATATTGGTGGAACAGGTGTGTGGGGATATAGTGGTGGAACAGGTGTGTGAGGATATAGTGGTGGAATAGGTGTGTGGGGGTGCTGTGGTGGAACAGGTGTGCAGTGTTGAACAGCTGTGTGGGGAGGCAGTGGTGGAATAGGTGTATGGGGGTGCAGTGTGGACCAGGTGTATGGGTGTGAAGCAGTGGAATAGGTGTATGGGGGTGCAGTGTGGAACAGGTGTGCAGGGATGCAGTGGTGGAACAGGTGTGCGGGGGTGTGGTGGTGGAAAAGGGGTATGGAGGTGCAGTGTGGAACAGGTGTATGAGTGTGATGTGGTGGAATAGGTGTTTGGGGGTGCTGTGGTGGAACAGGTGTACAAGGGTGCTGTGTGAAACAGGTGTATGGGTGCAGTAGTGGAATAGGTATGTGGGAGTGCTGTGTGGAACAGTTGTATGGGTGTGATGCGGTGGAACAGGTGTATGAAGGTGCAGCGAGGAACAGGTGTATTGGCGTGCAATGGTGGAATAGTTGTGTGGAGGTGCCGTTGTGGAACCGGAGTACAGCGGTGCTATGGTGGAACAGGTACGAGTTACGCCGCGTATGCCACGCCCACGCCGTGTATGCCACGCCCACCACACAAGCCGGATACACGCCCGCAGAGCACGCCGCAGCGACTTACAAGGGTTCAGAAACAGGGGGACCTCTTTTAATGTTTCCTGTTTAAAAAAAAAAGCGGCATACTGCATAACACCAGCAACTATAGAGGAACAACAAAGCCTAGCAATAATACATTAGGCAGCCTGCATAATGTATTATTGCTGGGACTTGTTGTTCCTCTATAGCTGGTGGTATTCTCCATTGCGCTGTATAATGTATTATTGCTGGGATTTGTAGTTCCTCTAACTGGTCAGTGGTAATCTGCATTGCGCAGTATAATCATTATACAGCGCAATGAAGAATACCACCAGCTATAGAGGACTACAAATCCCAGCAATAATACATTATATACAGCGCAATGCAGAATAACGCCAGCTATAGAGAAATACAAATCCCAGCAATAGTACATTATAGTATAATGTACTATTGCTACATTCCTCTATAGCTGCCGGTATTCTGCACTACGCCGCTGTATAATGTACTATATTGCACACACTTTTTTTTTTTACTTAAACCGCGCCAAGCTTGCTCCCGTGATGGACTACAATCTCAATACAAAGTAGTAGTCCATCAAGGGAAAAGGTCTGGAGTTGATTCCAGGTGTGGCATTCGTATTTGGAAGCTGTTGCTGTGAACCCACAACATATGTTCAGAGCAGCTTTAAATGCCAGTAAAACAGGCCATCCTTAGTCTGCAAAAAAAATCCATCAGAAAGATAACATTAGGAGTGGCCAAATCAACAGTTTGATACATTCTGAGGAAAAAAGAAAGGAACGCACTAGTTAACTCTTTGATGCAAAAAGACCTGGACGACCATGGAAAACAACAGTGGTTGATGATCCCTTCCATGGTAAAGAAAAACCTCTTCACAACATCCAGCCAAGTGAAGAAGGTAGACATATTATCCAAGTGTACCATAAAGAGTAGACTTCATGAGAGCAAATACAGAAGGTTCATCACAAGGTGAAAATCATTTAAGAATAGAAAGGCCAGATTAGACTTTGCAAAAAATTCTGAAAAAGCCAGCCCTGTTCTGGAGCAGCATTCTGTGGACAGTTGAAACTAAGATCAACCTGTACAAGAACAATGGGAAGAAAAAGTATGCAGAAGGCTTGGAACAGCGCATGATGCAAACCATACCACATCATCTGTAAAACCCAGTGGAGGCAGTGTGATGGCATGGGCATGCATGGCTTGCAGTGGCACTGGGTCACTAGTGTTTATTGATAATGTGACAGAAGACAGAAGCAGTCAGATGGATTATGAGGTTTATAGGTATAAATTGTCTGCTCAGTTTCAGCCAAATTTGTCAAACTTGATTGGACGGCACTTCACTTTGAACCAAAACATACTGCGAAAGGAACCAAGGAGTTTTTTAAAGCAAACAAGTGGAATATTCTGCAATGGTTGAGTCAATCACCTGATCTCAACCCAATCCAGGATGCATTTCACTTGCTGAAGACAAAACTTAGCCCTCGTTCACACCTGAACGTTTTGTAGCGCGTTCTACGCTCGACGAACGCTCTACAAAACGCTCAAAAATATAAATCCCATTGTATTCAATGGTCTTGTTCCCACCTTGGCGTATTTCCGCCCGTCCCTAACGCGCTACAAAACGGCCCACGCCTGAAAAGGTACATGTACTACTTTGGGCCGTTTTGTTGCGCGTTTCCATTGGGATACAGCCAAGTAGCCTTCGGAAACGCGCGACTTTTTTACCGCGAATCGCGGTAAAAAACACGCGCGACAGACGCGCATATGCAGTACGCCTAGGTGTGAACAAGACCTTAAGGTAGAAAGACCCGCGAACAAACACGAACTGAAATACGCTGCAGTAAAGGCCTGGCAAAGCATCACAAATGAGGAGATCTAACGTTTGGTGATGCCCATGCATTCCATACTTCAAACTGTCATTGCCTGCAAAGG